TATCTTAATATGACGCACACAAATATTATAATTATTTTAATAAGTAATTTCAAAGAATTATCTTAATCTCTAATAATAAAACCGCAAGATTTTATACAATAGGATATATACGCATTTCAAATTTATTGCAAGAAACAATGTCGCACAAAAGATAACAAAACAAATATTGTAGAGATAAAAAAAATCGTCTGCAATATGTGAAAAAGAGTATATAACCAAGAGAAATTTATCGATTATGACCGATAAGCGCATTTTGAATTGGACAACACAAAGCATTGATATCCATATTTTGCGGATATAGGATTGTCATACATAGATCACTATTGTGATTCAAGATAACATTATACATGCTACATAAACGTTTAGTAGATTTACTTTTAAATACACATACACGCATACAATTATTATACTATACATAATACGATATTATCATATTTAATACAATAATACATATCACTACATGAAAATCTATTCACAATGCTGATTCGTTCCTGTTATCAATTAGCAATACATCATCATTCCCAGAAGTTTATTATTATCATTAGGGTATATCTCGATCGGAATTAATAGCGCAATATCCGTATGTAAAAGCAGTCTGTCTGTTCACATCTAAATGTGACGGATGTCCCGTTACGATAATGCACTTCTCACGGTCTTTTACGGAGACACTCAATAGTTTGCACGTGGCAGGGGAGTTTAAAGACCCTTAGAAGCGCGAACAGAAAACCTGGCAGAGGTTCGCTTCTCGCAGGGAAACACGCGTGGATGAGTCATACCAGTAAATAGTAGCTTGAAAGTAACAAGCATGCATGCATGACCAAATAAACAGCAAATAGCGGGAGAATACAAGTGCTGTGTGCTGTTGTCTCTATCTCATGATTTTTATCATTTTTATCGTTTATCATATGTATATACCATATATCTATCTATTGTATTATGAGCAAATAAATATAAATTTTTAATAATTTAATTTATTTTATATATATAATTACCGTATCTCGCCGACACGTTTACTTGACGCAAAAAATTATCGTATTTTTTGACAAATTCATAAATATTATTTTTATATGGTTCATGTTAATATTGCGATTGTTAAGATGCAAATGATTTTAAATTGTAAAATAATTTAAAAATCAAATTCTGATATTTTAATGACTTTACGCTAAATATAAAAGAGTTATAAACATTTTATACATGTAATATTACTCGAAAAATCTTTTTTTTGTTCATAACTGACCACCTTTCCATCATATCATTGTAAAAATCTATACATACATTAGCCAGACAAGCGTTATATTTCATATTTAATTTAGTACCATTCTGTTAATTTTTAATGATCAGTATATAAATAACCAAAATCATTAAGAAATATCATTATCACGTAAAACTAAATATTCATTACGTATATTACGTAGTCACGTACACCTTTTATTCAGTATTGCACAGTGAGCGCTACGTGTGCCGCGTGCAGGCGTGCGCGACACTCTTGCACAGCACGTGTATGTAGTGGATTTCCTGCACGCACCGAACCTGAACGCAGGAGGGTTCATGACTCTGTGATTCGATATGCCTTTTGTGCCTATTCTCTCGAAAACATACTTTCAACCTGTGCGGATAAGAACACGAGGCTTTTAGTGGCATGATGTGTCGACAAAGTCGCTTCTCAGTTTTATTCGTGTTTTCATCAGCATGAATACAAAAGAAGAAAAATTGTAAAATATGTAATTTTACTAAACATTATCTATTTACAAACTAAAACTCGTAGCAAATATGATAGAGACATAATAAAATGCTAGTTTCTTAATGTTAATTTCTAAAATAATATTAATTAATTTACAAATCATATTTATTTGTTACACCACTTTAATCAAATCTTCATTTCTTTATTATTAATTTTTAATAGTAAATGAGTAAAGAAATAGAAAAAATTAAAATGTAGAAAGTAATCAGAAGAAATAAAGTCATTAAAACGTGTATTTGCATGTTCGATCATAAATTCATAACAGATTTAATCCATTCTCGATAATAGGAAACTTTGACGTAAACGCCAGCCACTTTTCCACAACCATGACCAAAAGACACAATGCCGTAAATTGTCCTTCTACTAGCCAATGCTCCTCCGGAGTCTCCGAAACAAGCGTCTTTTCCTTGGATTCCGTAACACAAATGATAGTCGTCTTTGATGAGTGTCGCGTATGAAGATGTAATATTAATACAGGTTTCATACGGAACGTGCTGAACGTAAACGCCCATTAGAGATTCAGCATTCTCTTTCTATAAATTATTTTAATTAAATTATATGCTTTTTTTATTTCTTTTAATTTCTAATAATAAATTAATAGATAATAAAAAATTTGAGAAGTGTATCAAAGAGAGAATATAAATATAAAAGGCATCGACGAAAGGCGTTTTTATTTAATAAAAACATTCTATATACATTCTATATACATATATTTGAAATCCTGCAGTTTCAAATTTTGTTGTTTCGATTATCAATAATTTAAACGTTTTGTATTTTTACAATTTATACATGAGTAGGAAATATACAAATAAGCAGTATAAAATGTTTAAAAAAGCACTGCATAAATCGTTACAATTTAACTTACTTACTTTTTTATCATTTATGTATCCCCAACCACAGACTAACAGTTCAAATGGTAATTCGTGGGTCGATCTTGGTAAACGAACTGGCCTGACTGTTCTCGAAAAACGAAATGGTGGTTTCACTTTGAGAAGTACGATGTCGTGATGAAATAATCCCAAGAACCAAGAGCGATATGTATCGTTATATACGTGAATGTTCGTCACTCTATGCACAGATCCGCTTCTATCTATTTTATTAGATCCGGCCCGTACATAATATTGCGACGATTCTGAGAATCTAGAAAATAATAAAGTATTAAAATAAAGCATTAAAATCATTAAAAATAAATTTACTATGCTCAGTTCGTAAGTTCAATTAAATATTAATACTCTAACAAGAATATGTTTAAAGAATTAATAATAACGAATCATGATGTTAAAATCTTATTACAAACAATGAAGAGCAGTAATAGCCCATGTTCTCGATAATATACTGGCGCCGCACAAAAATCCATGTGAATTATGTAAAGACAACTGCAAGTATTATTTTTAGAAAATATTAGCAAATGAATAAATCATATCTATACGTCGACGTACAGTTAAAAAATACTTAACCATAAAAGGTCTATATCTTATGTCGATTGATTGTCCTCCAATAATTTTTGGTTGTGCTGTATATGTTGCATTTCCATCTATTTCTTCTAACAGAAAACCTAGAGTATACATATATGGGGAACATTGTGTAATAGAAATTTAATGTATCTGTAACTGAAAAGTACATTTGTGTACATATGCATGAAATTTAGTATACTTTTCATAAAATTTTACGAAGTTTAATACATTTTTTATTAAACTCTATGCAGATTTGCAGTTTAATGCATGTAAATATTAAATTTAAGTTACTTGTAACTTCATTTTCATTGACAACATTAAATATTACATGTAACAAAAGTAAATTTTTTTTCTTTTTTTTTAAACAGTGTGTATTATATTATAACTTATACATACTTTTATACGATTATAACTAAAGGCATAAATATTTTTTTGTTTTATTGTTAACAGTATTGTATAACGTAAATAATTATTCCTACCGGCAAAATAAAGAACAATGACTGCTCCGCGCATTTTTGCTGACTGTGTCATCATACAATGAGATCTAGCATATGTAAAATGCGACGATCTATTTCGCCGTGGTTGTAAATGTCAGACAAGATATATTTCGCGAACGTTTAACAGCAACAAATGATGATACTATCGCAATTACAGCATCACAATAGTACCAAGATTGAACGTGATTTATGTAAGTGCCATAAGTAAAGTGATAATTTGAAATTTATCATACCTTGTCGCAACGAGTCAAATATTTATTAGCAATGAAATTATTGTAAAGATTCCTAGGCCGACATTCATAGTCACACACAATTCTTATATCTTTAAGAATATCTTAAGTACAATCTTAAGATGACATACGTAAACCAATCTAAGACGTTTAGCATTTTAAGATATCACTTAAGACAGTCTTGATGTAAGAACCGATTAAAATACCATAGTTATTATCTTAAAAACATGAAAATTGCAATTGCGTTTAATGTGCAATTACCACTCATTAATTTCAATACGTCTCCAAATTTATTGATTTCTCTGTAAAGGATAAACGTGATACATGTATTTTGCACAGAAATGAATTCACCTGCTGTTATAAACACTTTCAGCACTCGTTTATGCATACTATATATTTATACATTATTTACATAAAAATTTGTTAAATTTGTAGTTTTCGAAGAAACGGAGTTAACAGCCGAGTAATGTATGACTAGAAATAAACAAAATACGCACGCAAGGTCACGAGGTGCTCGTAGTGATATCAGATACATGCTCAATGCAATTTTGAAATCGATTCGTCAACACACATATACAGTGACAGAATTTTTGTAAAACCATATAAAATGATCTCGTAAATAACTCCCAGGAAAGAGACATTTCTGTACAAAACACACGTATCACGTTATATATACATATATTACACTGTTTTAACGTTAATAAATCGCAAATTATTCATTGCTTCTTAAAATAGAATATCTTTTATTAAAGTTTAAATCATAAGAATCATTTGTTACATTTTAAACATGTTTTGAATAGAATTTAGTCTTTACCGTAGATATCATTGATTTCTGAGAAATTTTTTCTTACAGCAGAAAAATTAATTAATTATATATGCATATATAATTTAATTAAATTATTAATATAAATTTAAATATAAATTTAATTAAATTATTTTAACATCGATAAATCGAAAATTGTTCATTGCTTCTTAAAATAGCTTTCATTAAAGTTTAAACCATAAAAACTATTTGTTACATTTGTATATATTTTGAATAGAATTTTGTTTTCATTATAGATATTGTCGAAATTTCTAAAAAATTTTTGAAAAACAATGATCTACGCGTTTACGTCCAGGTGGATTCCGTCATTTCTTCGAGGTTAGATTCATCTTTATGTTCTCCCAAACAAAATAATGTAGAAACAAAACTAATTGTTTCCATGAACATAGTGACTAATAGCAAGTTATTTGCCAAACATGCTAAAGTGCTCCTGTGATTTCGACTTCGCACTTTACTTACATGATTCATTAAACGCATTAGTTTTCCGAAAATATTATCGGCCTCCTTTCTTATTTCTGCAAAAATAAAAATATACAGTTTATTTATAAAATTAACTCTACTATCGTGCACAAATTATTCTAATTCCAAATTCTTTTAATTAATTTAGAATTAATTAACAGAACTCGATTCCAAAAGAAAATAAAAATATTATTTACTGAAATTGCTTCGATATCAAAGTAAAATATTTTTTTAACAATTTTGAAACAATTTAAAAAAATTAAACCAAAAAATTATTAATTAGTATGTTGAAATATTATCTTTCTCATATGTATTAATATAAACACTTACGATCTCTCTTAGAATATTTCACGAGATATCTCATTTGATTATTTTCGTCAAGTTCCTCCTCACTTACACTATCTGAATCTGTTATATTAACTAACGAAATATCAGTAGAAGTTGACGTTTCGATGTCTGTATCACTTAAATTTGCACATCCAAATAATTCCAAAAGTTTCATCATCCATTTAGATAGGCAGGAGAGAATGTTATAATGATTCTGCCATAATTCTTTGAAAGAACTTCTAATACCATGAATAAGAAATTGTTGCATTTTTAATACAAAACGATGAAAATTTCTAATAGCAAGTATCGTTTCCCTTAATACGCCATTTTTATATATATTTAATGATACAGATAATTTTTTATATCTAAAACAATTATTTATATAAATTTTTAAATAAATACTATTTTAGTTATGCATTTTTAATGTTAATAGTATAAAATTCTAAGAAGTTATATCGTGCACTATAATAAAGATTAATAAATACATGAGTTATTAAAATATTATTAACCTCATAGCCACTCTCTTGTCCTTAGCGGCATTTTTCGAAAGCGTGTTTAACTTCCTGTGACCTTCCTGAAAAATTGCAAAATACTGACACACATCATACGTTAATTGTCTTCCCCATTCGTTTCTCGAAAGAATATTCCCGAGTTTATTCGCGATACGATAAAGAGGTGATCGTCTAGATATCCGTTGATCTAAAATTTTTTCGTAAATATATTTCACTTGCTGCGTTGTAGACTTTGGCAGTCTTCGATAGAACTGGCAGTTAATGCTCGCATTGCCGATATTAATCTTACATCCACTTAAATTTTCAATAACGGTTAACCATGGTTTGATAAGAAATCTATGATGACCGATTGCTTCGTACGAGTCTTGATCTCTTGATGAAGACATGCAAGTCATGAAACGTCGTAATTCTTTGATACAAACACTGTAATAACTGATCTTTTCAACAAGTGAATGACATAGCAACATGTGCAATTGTTCACTGGTTGTGCCGTTACTTGGTGCAGAACGGATGAATGCTTGATCTAAGCGAAACTTAAACAATTTCACAGTATTGTCGGGTGAATCTTTCGCTAAATTTACAAGAGCTCGATCGAGATTAAAAGATGATGTTGGATTCCTCCTGTTTGTTACCGGCAACAAACATTCAAATAATTTTTCGCTAAAACTGGCGGCGTCATTTATAGTACTGAAAAACTTGAAACTCTTCGTCTTTTTGCATAGTGATAAGTCCTGAAATAAATATTAATAGATTGTGTTATTTATATAATTGTCCTAATTCATAAATAGATTGCCCAAACTTTTCTTCTCGATACCATCGACGATAATTAAATGGTTGCTTTTAAAGCTATAATCTATTTACACATATACTTATACCTCTTAACTATAATTTCTTTAAACTTCTAAAATAATCTCTCTTTTGATATTTTCGAGCTTACCTTATCCTCGTATAAAGTCATATTATATGTTTTGAAATAATGATTGATCGCAAATCCAATCTCTTCTCCTATTCCAATCAGATCGTATAATAGCAGCGATCCCTGAACAAGACTTTCGGTAAACCAATTTTTAGAAATTGTAGAGTTCCATAATATTTGTTTATATTCACGAATTGATGCAGTTAGGCCGCTAATTTGCGCGAATTCCATAATTTTTGCACGTATAATCTTGCTTATTTCACTAATTGTGCTTGCCAAACTGCCTCCATCGGAAGACGACAATCTCAGGGTTATTGGCTGAGCGAATGACCCAGTTAATCTCGCTAAGAAATGTTTTATTATTATTTTTGCATGTTGAATCTGTTTTGGATTTACCAAAACAAATGATACAATATTCGGTTGATTCCTTCGAGATACTGTCAACGTGGAAAACGTTTCATTATGATAAATACTTTCCGTCATCACACAAAATACATTAATCTCTGAAAAAAAATTATAGAAAGAAAAGAACATTGATTATTGATTGTACATTTATTTGTTATTGTGATATGAAATTAAAAATAATACACTACCAAAGTATAGAAACAAAATAATCAATTTGCAACTCATGTTTGAGCTAACTATGTTTGCAGATAACTGGTTCGCTTTTATGTAGATTTTTTCAAACGAACGTCATGCAATTTATCGTGGACAATAAAAAATATTTCTTGTACGTTCAGTTAAACTTATCTCGTTGCAAACTATCCATTGATGCATATTATAAAAATAGAAAATTTATGCTTTCATTTAAACGGACGTTAATGCTGCCTCATATATAACATGATGCAATAATGATAATACAAAGTTTATTTTCGAGATTACAGAACAATAACCAATATATTTATAATTTTTATGAAAAAATAAATTAATGTCTGATAAAGATCAACGCTAGTATTTTCGTGCAATAATACTGCAGAAACATTATTGATGTTTGCTTCAACGGATTCGTAGTGTATGTATGTATGTATGTATAGCGAAATGGCGCGTGGCGCCTGCGTTCAAGAATCGCAACGATCGCGTCGTCAGTCTGGATGGCAGCTTTTACCAGGAATCAATTCTTGCACAGGTACTGGCCTAGAATTAGTAATGGAGTGCGTTTGCGTTACTGTCTTTTAGTGTCTACGATAAAATAAAATCGCAAAAGATATAAATAGAACTATTTAGATAGTCATTGAATTATTAATGATAAAAGTGATACTATATATTTAAAAAAATTTTTTTGTTTTTTATAAAGTGTACTGACTGATTGAATATACTGTTATGTCAGTGTTATCAATAAAAAATATTTCTTATTTATATTTATATTTCTTATTTGTATTTCTTATTTATTTTTATATTTTTAATTAAATTAATTATCTTGCTGGGGTAAATTTTGGTTGAGAAGTAACACAATATCCTACGTAATGTTGAATGTAAGAAATGCATTTCTGCGTCCGTGATTCTTCGATATTAATCTTATATATGCCTACAAATAGATCACCTGCATAATAGATGATATCATCGAGATGACAAAACAAACTCCACGAATGTTGAGTCACTTACACAACTGCGCGTTTCAGATGATTACTTAATTAATCTGACATCACATTTACAACAGATAAATCACAGATGAAATAAACCGAGTGAAAATTTCTTCCGCTAATTACTTAATTTTTATTTAAATGTTAGCTAAGAAGAATTAACATGGAATCAATTTTAACCTTTTGTAGATATTTACTAATTTTCTAGGATTGATTTCTTTAAATATCAATCATATAACTAGTTAGTTAATCCTTTGTCGTTTTTTGCTTGAAACACACAAAAAAGTAAAGAGTCAAAAAATTAAATTACATAGGAAATACCAGCAAAACACTTATAGATAAATATATATTCCATTTAATAAATTAATATAAATTAATTTTAAACATAACTCAGTTTATATGAGAAATAAATCCTCTACACCGTGTCATTATTTAAAAAAAGTTTATATTTCCAAATAAATGAAAAATATTCTTAGACAAAATAATATTGTAAAATCAAAATTGTTTAAATACAAAAACGTTTTGTAAAACATACATAACGGGTAAAAGAACTGAGAATACTTTCTTGATAATAGGTGCCATCTATCGGGCGACCAAGAAGTAAAGTGAATGGTTGAATGTTCCATTCAAGAATAAACGGAACACTTACTAGTTGCACTTATACCAAGCTTATAACTCCAGCCGGCATATTTCCGTTGCAAAATATACTTAAATTTCCTACGTACAAGGGGTCAATATTTGACAAGGAATGTTTCTGTGAGTGCACGATTAATGTAGGTATACAATTTTCTGCAAGTTCGGCAATTATAGTTAAGAATCGAATGCTTGAAATAACGGTGAAGTTCTTGGAAAATACTAAATCGCGTATAAGTGCGTTCTGATTCATTGGGTGATAAAAGATCGAGCGAAGATGGATGAAGAAGCTATGTGGAAAAATTTTTACCACAAGATCGTGGAAGAGAAATTAGCAGAGGAAAACGAAAAGAAAGAGAAATCGGAGCACGAGATAAGGTAAAGGGATTTCAGTGCATTTCGATCATTATTTATGTTGACTTTTAATTATTTTGTATTTCACATATTTTGACGGAAAACACTGTAAAATTTCTACAGAAAATTTTATATTGTTTATTGAACGAGAAAGAATGTACTTAAATTATTAAATATATTATAGTAATAAAGTAAAAGTAATAAAGTAATAGAACACTGTTAAATAATTCTATAAATGTTAAAAATTATTTATTAATAAAATAATCTTATACAAAAATTAAATGTCTGTATTTATAACAATATTTGACTTGAAATAACGCATATTTATAAGAATAAAATAATATTTATACATAGTATGCATTATTATTTTGTAATACTTTGTCTTACATTTATGAATAAAGTATATAAAAAACTTCTAATATAAGAAATATTAATCTTTTCAAATAAAGGAAAAATATATTCAAAAAGTTATTGATACAATTTGTTTTTAACATGTTACAATAATTAACAGATTAAATGGACAATATAAAATTTTTATCTACGTTCAAATTATTAAGATATTTGAAAATAATATTAAATTATAACATCAAGAAAAGCAACGTGAAGTTATAAAGTATGACTTATTTTTGGCACGAAACTGGAGCGTCGATAACGATGAGCCCTGCATATTCATAAACTTCATGATTAATGATAATGCTTTATGATAAACAAGATGTGCTCTTGACACTTGGTAAAACCTCAAATTAAATTGTCTGTAACTAGGCGTGTATGTAGGATCTATTAATAGAATGAGACTAACATTGAGAGTTCGGAGGAGGGACTACGCGGCGACTAACAGGTCTGAGTTCTATACCTGTAGGCAAAACGTATAGGTGTATCTATATATACGTGCGGCTGTTCCACGAGATCTGGTGTCCAAGGTCGGTACAACGTTATATGATTCATAGTTACCTCTCCTATGACGTCTTTATAAAAGATACTTAATTACTGACGTTACGTGAGGAACATGAAATCAACCATCTGTGAAGGAATTTGGTCAGGTGTAATCTGATTATATTAATAAAAATAACTTATTATAACGCACGCATTGCAATTTGTATCCGGTAGCTGAAATATATTTTTAAGCACTTCTAAGTTTACTAATTGTATTGCTCACTCATAACTACATGTCATATACTTATTATATACGCATATTTATTATATGTACATATATATATATGTATGTATATTTATATACGTATAATTAACATACTTAATTTTTATTGTAATTGTAATTGTAATTTAAGCAAAATAATATGTATGTAAAGATGATACATACTTAATGCACATATTTTTTTATTGTATAAAACATATTTAATTACCATAAAATGCTGTTATAATAAAAATAAAATTTTGTAAGAACAAAATTAATTAGAACAAGACAAAAAAGTTATAAACGTATACTATATTCTATGATGATCCATTCTCTTAGAAAACATAATGTCGCGTCTGTTTCTATTTTTATTGCGTTTTCCATGGTTCTCACATAATTTAATGTCATGCAGCGCGAAATAGCACGCACGTCACAAGTGGTCGAGGGAATTCCCTGGGTTTCCTCGATGGGTAAATTGATGAGGAAGAAGTGGAAAGGCATCTTAGATCATTGCTTTAGGTGAATGACCTGCGAGAATTGTTGAAAGTTAGATTGTTTTTCAGATAGCATCTTATAATTGAAACCTTCGAAGTTTTTATGATATCATCAATACATACATCAAGCAGTTGCTGAAGTTTGCTAAAGTGATTGACGAGTGCTTCGAGGTTGAAGTAATGACTTTTTTTTCCAATAAATATGTTTTGTACACGTTAATTGTATTATACATATTATGTAACATTGTGCTGTTGGAATTTTGTAAACTCGTAACATTTTAAATTTATTATAAGATTTTAAATGTCATATATTTATGAAATACCAAAAACACAAAACACTTTTTAAATGTTTTTAACAAAATTGAATTCGACAAATTACTTTAAAAACGTTTAATCTAAATGATTATTTTATCTCGTGGTAAAATAATATATACATCATCACATACTTACGTCACAGGTAATATATTGTATTGATAAATTTGAGATTGAAAACACGAACGTACGTCTGGCTGTATTATTTCGAAGTCGTTCAACTTATTGAAAGCCATAGTTTATATCACAATAGACTTTATCCTTATTATATGGATAAACTTGAAATGCAAAATACTATTTTAAGTCAAACATATCTAAATAAAGTAATCAAAGTAATTGAATCCAAACACATTTACATATTGAATAATACAAAAAAATATAATAACGTATAATTTTTAAATAAATTTCTAAAAATATATATTCGTATAACAGATTCATCAATTTTACATAAATAAACCATAAATTAGCATCAAGTGTAAAACAATTTATGGTTCGTTCAAGACCAGTTTAGATTAAAATCGATTATTGATTAGAAAGACAATTCCGCTGGATCATCTAGCCTTCTAAATTTTCATGCCGTAAGAAATTAAAAGTAGATGATAAAAATATAAAACAAGATCGAATAAGTCTACATTTTTCAAACGTTGGTCGATCGCAAAATACTCAAGTGGCATGCGATACCATGAATCATTTCGTTCTTGAGTTAAGAATAAAAGAGGCTCAGAAGGATGCAATGCTTTGCTTTAAGAAAAAAAGGAATGCAGCAGTGACGCAAGTCAACGAACATCTATTTCTTGTTCTTCTTGCTTCGTAATTTGAGAACGTATTTCTGTTTCGTCTTCGTAAACTGTTTACAAGTCACAAAACTTATATGACAATATGTTCTTAATGTTTACATACAGTTGTTAATTAAAAAGAAATTAAATTTCTTCATTATGTTTTACTGTTTTATGCTTTTTTTTCTAAAAAGGACATACGATTGT